AGTAAAACAAGACCATGTTTTTAAAAAGAGACATACAATTTTCTTAAAAGGATAAAAAGAAACAGAAGGAATTTCAAAATAAGGTTATGAATAAAATCAGCTATTATAAATGTATTACATTTATTTAACATTTATAATTTATCATTGTTTTCTCAATTAGTTTGAAATATCAATCTAATTACTGTGCAAAGTGTTATATGTTTAATATCAAGACATAATTAGACTACATTCATTCAAACAAATCTATTTCCTAACGTAATAATGTTTTCAAATTGGTATACTATACCACAAAATGATATTGGTTTCTACATAATATACAGCTGAATAAAGTTCCAGCTTAAAAAGTTAAGAAGTTACCCAGGTTCACCCAGCAAGTTGCCAGGTTGAAATTTATCTCCAAGTTTTCTGGCTTTACATTCTCAACTTTTCCCCGAATCTCTGGTTTCATGTAAGCTTAAGCTTTCGGAACAATACACAAAGGAAGTCTTTCCAAGATATTTACAAACATTATGTCTCCAAAGCATCTTAAGGCTAGTGAATTTTATAACACTTATTGGCTGAGTACCAAGTTTAAATATCATTTAAAAACATGTGAATTTCTGGTCTTATGAGTGGAAAAATGAAGAATCCAGGTAACTTGAAGTATGGCTCTTTATACACTAGGTAGGCTATAGAAAATTAGGTTAATTCAGCTAAAGTTACTTGCTAGCTGACTGCCGGATAGCGTCTGCCCTGTTTCTCCACTTTGGCTTGTAAGTATAGGTATAACTTTAGAAAAAAGTTGTTTTCAAATGGTTATTGAAAATCAGTACAACTGATGAACACAAAAGCCAAAGATCTTACCTCTTGAAATGAGAATTCATTCGTCTTACAGTAATAAGTTCAAAGTCATTGTTGTAATATAACAGCCATGCTGTCTCGTTATTGTTTGCCTTTGAGGATAAATCTCTGAAGATTCTAGAGATTCAAATGTGAATTCAAAAACACCAAGGGTCATTATAGCATTCTCAAGTGACTATTGAGCAGTTCACCTCCACAAATATAACTCATCTTTAAGGGTTTTGTCAGTTCTCAAGTGATTAAGGGTTTTCTGCTGTTTTTATCTAGTTGTTGGTGCACTTGCATTTGGTAATTATTGGAACTATAATATAATAAATTGTCTCAGAGCTAAATATTGGTTCTCACTTTACTATATCAACTTAAGGACTAAGCTTAATAGATTTTCCTACAGAACAGTCCAACCAAAAAGAGCATTCTTTTCAAATGCACTTGGAACTTTCTCCAGGATAGATCCCATGCTAGTCTACAAAACAAGTCTTCATAAATTTTAGAAGATTGAAATCATGTCAAGCATCTTTTCCAACCACAACATTATGAGATTAGAAATCAACTAACACAACTTCAAAAAAACACAAACAAATGGAGGCTAAACAACATGCTACTGAAAAACCAATGGGTCAATGAAGAAATCAAAAAGCATATCAAAAAATACCTTGCAGTGACTGAAAACAGAAACACAACTTTCCAAAATCTATGGGACACAGCAAATACAGTTCTAATAAGGAAGTTCAGAGTGATACAGGTATACCTCGGGAAAAGAGAAAAATCTCAAATAAACAACCTAACCTTCTGCCTAGAGAAATCAGAAAAAGCAGAAGAAACAAAGCTCAAAGCAGGCAGAAGGAAGGAAACAATAAATATCAGATTGGAACTAAATAAAATAGGGACCAAAAAATTAGAAAAGTATCAATGAAACTAAGAGTTGGTTCTCTGAAAAGATGAACTAAATTGATAAAACTTTAGCCAGACTCATTAAGAACAAAAGAGGGCCCAAATAGATAAAATTGAAAATGAAAAAGGAGGAGTTACAACCAATGTTACAGAAACAAAATCGTAACAGAATACTACAGTTATACACCCAAAATGGACAACCTAGAAGAAATGAAAAATTGCTAGAAACATACAATCTTCCAAGAGTGAATCAGGAAGAAACATAATATCTGAAAAGAACAATTACTAGTAACAAAATTGAATCAGCGATCAAAAGCTCCTAGGGATGGGAATAGCTCAGTGGTAGAGCGTGTGCTTAGTATGCATGAGGTCCTGGGTTCAATCTCCAGTATCTCCATTTGCAAAAGTCAGTTTTGATAGCTTCTAAGAATTTGTCAATTTCATCTAAGTTATTTGATGGATTGGCATACTATTTTTCACAGTACTGCGTTCTAATCTTTTTATTTCAGTAAGATGATAGTAATGTCATCTCTTTCATTTCCAATTCTAGCTATTTGAATCTTGTCTCTCTCTCTCTTTCTCTCTCTTTTTTTAAAAAGACTTTACTTCCTTAGAGCAAGTTTAGGTTCCCTGCAAATTGGAAGGAAGGTACAGAGATTTCCCATATCCCCTAAGGCCCTACACATGAATAGCCTCCAACGTTATCAACATCTCCCACAAGAGTGGTACATTTGTTACCAAAAATGAACCTACAATGTCATATCATAGTCACCCAAAGTCCATAGTTTACCTTAAGATTCACACTTGATGTTGTACATTCTATGGGTTTGGACAAATGTATGATGACATGTAGCCATCATTACACTGTCATAAAGAGTATTTTTAATGTCCTAAAAATCTCCTGTGATATTCCTATTCATCCCCAATCCGACCTCTACAACCTCTGACAACCACTGATCTTTTTACTCTCTCCATAATTTTGCCATTCTTCTCTCTTCTCTTCTTGGTCAATCTGGTTATAGATCTATCAGTTTTGTTGATCTTTTCAAAGAACTAGCTTTTGTTTTCAATCACTTTCCCTATTTTTTTCTATTCTCTATGTTATTAATTGTCCATAGTGGTAGCCATCAGTCTCAGTTATAACCTTCACAACCCCAAGCACTATTTGCTCTGTGGTCTGTCCTTTCCAGAAATCTGTATCACTATGGTAATTATCTCACACATATTGGTGGACTTGCTGTCAGAGAGTAGGACCATTTCTCTCCTGAAAAAAAAGGACTTTTTTTTCCTTTTTTGGCTTTTGAGCCAACAACTGCTTCATCCTGGCTACCATGTCCTATGATCGTTATGCTGCCATTCCCAACCACTGCACTATCCCATCCTGATGACCCAGAATATCTGCCTTCAGATCATGATGACTGTGTTGCCTTGGGGAAAGATTGGCACTGGCAAAGTTACAGTCTTCACTGCATCCAAGCTCATGTTTTTGTTTTTATTTTTATTTTTATTATTATGTTCCAACAGCATGCTGGAATCGCCCCTTGTAAAAGGCTGGATTTCTGCGAAGTCTCTCTTGTTCATAGGTTTCTTCCCAAGTCAGCACTCTCCACCATGGCCAAGAGGGACTGGCGCAGGTTCACTGGCTCCTGCTGGTTTTGAGGCCCATACTGAGGTCTTTCTGCCTATTACCAGACACACAGGTGGGCAAAACTCCTCCTGGATCCCTTGGAGTATGGTTTTGGATCCCACAAGTCCCTCTGAGGCACTTTTGTTCATGTATGGCTACCTTATTTGTTGTTTAAAAATGGGGACAAAAAGGAGACACATCTCACACTGCCAAGAAGCTAATCTTACCCTGGACTTAATGTGAGTAGTGGAATCATTGCTGATGACTAAATAGAAAGATCACATGATATAACTTGTATTAAGATTAATCTAATGTTTATATTTTTTATTAAAGGAAAAACAAGGTTCCTAAAAATATTATCCCTTTTTTATTACAAAATATCCACATAGAAAAAAAACTGGGAGAAGAAACACAAAGAGGTCTGTAAGAATACAAATAATTTTAAATTTCATAAGTGATACCATCTGGTTTAAAGAGAGCATTTTCAGGGCTATTACAGAAATTCCAGTGAAATTATGTGCAAGGAATCTGAGAATGTCAGTATCAGAGGTAATAGAACTAGGGGGGAAAGAAGTGGTTTAACATACGTTACACAAGTAGGCAGCACACATTTGACAGGATTGAGACACCTTCAAGAACACCTTCATCTAGAAAGGAGCCAGGTCATGCCAGTTAGCCCCCAGAGTCTTTCTATTGAAAACTGTTGTACGTATTTAGTGGAATAGATCCCTGAAAGGGAAAAGCTAGGCTAGATGGAGCTTTCAGATAGCCTCTGGGTTGGCTTGATGAGGCTCACCTGCAGAGGCATTGTGTGAGGAACTCTGTTGCTCAGTTTCCAATCACAAAGCAACAGAAGTGTTAGAGCCACCAGCATCACTGATTTCAGCCCTTAGATTATCTGTACATCATGGGCACCATCTCTTTCAGGTGACAAGATCACGGGTGGCAATGCTATTCTTTATTTCCCATTCAAGGAGTTTCAGATGCTTCCAGCAGTTATTTTCAAAGACTGCATTCAAAGAGCACAGAACTGATCTGAAAATATTTGTACTTAATAGATGGAGCACAAGGGATTTTTAGGGCAATGAAATTATTCTGTATAATACCATAGTGGTGGCTACATGTCATTATGCATTTGTCAAAGTCCATAGAATGTACAACATCAAGAGTGAACCCTAAGGTAAACTATGGAATTTGGTTGATAATAATGTACCCATATTGGTTCATCGATTGTACCAAATATGCCACACTGATGAGAGATGTTGAGGGTAGCGGAATATATATGTGTGGGTGGGAAGGGCTATGTGCTAACTCTCTGTATATTCTGCTCATTTCTGCTGTGAACCTGAAACTGCTCTAAAAAAAATAAAGTCTATTAGTAAAAATAAGAAAATATTTGTACTTATAGATGTCAGAAATGGTGGGTGAAGTAAAAATTAAGCTTTTTTTTTTGGCTAAATGCTCCTATCTTAGTAGTGCATGTTTATTTTTTCACCCTGAAAATTTTCTTGAGACTAATGCGATAAAATTTATGGGCCTAGCATACTATGAAAACACACTGAAATTTACTTAGTACATTATTTATTCGTCTTCAGGAGAGGCTTTTATTACAATAGTGTTTATTCTTAAAAATCAGATTACTTTAGGACCACCAATGTGTTCTAGCCATTAATTTTCTCATGGCCTCTTTAACCTCCTTGTTCCTCAAACTGTAGATAAGGGGGTTCAACATGGGGATCACCACTGTGTAAAACAAAGATACCACTTTGTTTTGTTCAGTTGAGTAGCTGGACTTGGGCATCACATAAATGAATGTGATGGTGCCAAAGAACAGAGTGACCGCTGTGAGGTGGGATGTGCAGGTGGAGAAGGCTTTGTGGCGCCCCTCGGTGGATCGCATCTTCAGGACTGAGGAAATGATGTAAACGTAAGAGAGACCAATGATAAATACAGTGACTACAATGATGGAGCCAGAAAAGATGGCTGGAATGACTTCAGAAGTAAAATCATGAGAACAAGAAAGCTCCAAAAGTGGTGAATAATCACAGAAAAAGTGATTTACTTTATTCGGTCCACAGAAGGACAGACTTAATAAACAGCCAGTAAATGTCCAAGTGTTCACACATCCACCTAGGTAGGACATCCCCACTAAGAGGATACAGACTCTGGGGGACACATGGGTGGAGTACAGCAGGGGCAAGCAGATGGCCACATAGCGGTCATAGGCCATGGCAGCCAGCAGGAAGCACTCGGCTGTCCCAAAGGTGACCACGGAACAGAGTTGGGTGACACAACCAGCAACATGGATAGAGGTGCCCTCCCCTAGGAAGCCCATGAGCATGACAGGCGTTGACTGATGAGGAGTACCCGATGTCCACAAAGGCCAAGTGGCAGAGGACAAGGTACATTGGGGTGTGAAGCTGGAGGCTGCTTCTGATTAACATGATTATGCTGATATTGCCCATTAAGGTGACAACATAGATTCCTAGAAACACAATAAATAAAATGGCACAAACTGTAGTACCTTCTGTTAACCCCAAAATAATGAACTCTGCCACAGTTGTGTAGTTTCCAGTCCCCATCTACATAGAGAATGGTGTGCACTGAAAGAAAAACAAGTGGATATCAGAATGGAAGAAAATACCGTAGTCTACATACTTATTTTTTACAATAGCTATATAACAAACATCACAACATACAAACTCATGTAAATATTTGGGGGAAATGTTTCCATACACAATACCTTGTGTGGGACTTGAAAATATAAATGCTCATTGATACAAGGCCAGGAATATTCAGAAAAATCTTTTTTTTTTAATTAACACATTCAACTCAATTCGCATTATGTAGTTTACGTGGTCCACGAGAAATTGTTTCACATGAGCACATCCTAGAGATGGCCACTAGATGGTACCAGGGACCCAGTAACTGTACCTTCTAAACCAAATATGATCAAAGAGAGCAGAAATGTCATGCCAGGGCTCATGGAAAAGAATAACTGTTCAACATGACATCTGAGGCGTCATTGCTTGTATGAAAGAGGATGCAGTCATAATGAGTCTTGAATTTAAAGCAGATCTCAAACAGATTAGCTGCATGATAATCCAGAGGACCAGGAGGAGGTCAGTAGCTCATCCGCAGGCTGTGGTCCCCACCTACAGGTATCACCATTGGAGGAAAGCACAACCAATAAGCAGGAAGTTTGGACAGAGACGGAAAGCAGAAGGTGCTCAAATCATGAACAAGTCCACCTGGAGAGACTAAGGTTTGGAAAAGGAGATGCCACATCTTAGGATCAAGCTATCTGATTCATGATAGTGAGCCAACCTGGGGAAAGGGAACCAGACACAGTGACCAGGTTACTCTTGAAAGGCTTTACAGATGCCTGAGGCTTTGCAGAACCTGAGGCTGGGCTGCTAGCAAAAGCTTCCAGCCTCCTAATTCCCACAGGCATCCAGCCCCATTTGAATAGTTCCTGTCTGAGAAAAATCACACCTTTAGATCAGCTTCTGGAAAGCTCTTCCCCCATATAAATTTGTTTGAGAAAAATCATGAAAAAGCAAGAAAAGTATGAGAGCTTTCTCATAGAGTCACTGGATACCCAGCTTCCAAAGGCCACTCCATCTCCCTGATTTTACAAAGTTAGAAACTGACATCTAAAGAAGTTAGATAACAAAGTTTAGGTTAAATCGCTTTATGATAAGTGAGCTGAAATGAAAGGTCATACCTGGAGTCATATTTATATGACACAAACATTTTCTGTAATTTCTAAAGAAGAATATAGAATATCAGAAAGTATATTTGATTCATTTATATGATCAAAAAGTTTTTTTTATTTATGTTAATATATAAATAATACCTTTACTCTTAAAAATGTGCTTTGCAAATCTGGTAATTCTAATGCAGAAATGGCTACTGAAATGTCACTACAAGGATAAAGGGTCTCCTTCAGTGCCCAGTCCCAGGGAACTGATGTGCCCTTGTTTTCAGCTGAACCGTTGTGGGTCCTTGGTAGATGATGAATAATATTTAACGAGGATTTTCTTTTTGCAGAGCAACTAAGGGGATAGACATGGTATTTGAGTGTAGATGCAAGGGAGAGAATAAAATAACCGTTATATGTGAGCTGAGCAAAGCTGAAGTAGGTTCATGAGATGGGCAAAGCCAACAAAAGGGCATCGGGCCCCCAGGGGACTGAAGATTCATGTTAATGATTCTACCAGGAAGAATGAGCTAGAAAGATAGGAGGTGGTGATGGTTACAGTTTGGGATGCAAACAGTTTAAAGTGAGATTAAAAGTTACAGTTATCGGCAAATGGCGATGCCTATTACGTCTAAACTCTGACAATGAGAATGTCTGGGTGGGGTAGGGAGAAAAACAAGATCTCTGGAGGAGAGCGCAAGAAACTAAGACGTTAGAAGGATCTTTTTGTGGCTGTATTAAAACCATCAGGACTTGCGGCGGGAATACCGTAAGAGAGAAAGAGAGAAAGCCAGAGCCAAAACTCTTCCGAGGATAAGGCGACATGACACTGGGGAGATAGAACGCCTACAAGTGGCAAAGGGGAGAAGGAATACTATCCACTAGCAGGCCCAGGAGTATGAGGGGTAAGAGAAAAAACATTCGACCCCTGAGAAGGTTGCAGAGAAAAAGAAGTACCCTTGGGGAGTGGGGGGCAAGTATCTACTGGAGAGGACAGTGCAGAGAATGGAGTGTTCAAAAGAGATGTTAAGGACGTGAGATTCTGTTGGTAACTGCAAGTACCAAAGAGCACAGGAAAAGGCTTCGAGGGTTAAAGGGAGGCAGAAGCAAGACCTCTTGATTCAGGAGAAAATTAGGAGACTTGAAAATAAACTTTGACAGCTCCAGTCGACTGGAGATAACATTCAAAGAGGGGGTAGAGAAGATATTACACAAAAATATTGAATGTGTATTAGTATGTTGTGGTTAACAGCTGAATGAACAAAAAAGGAAATGAAGGCTACTCCCAAAAATGTGGGGAAGAGGTGATGGGGAACCTATTCTGCTAACCTGGATTGATTTAATAATTTTGAGGCAATCCCAGCATCCCACCTAGAGAAAAGTCATCCCTGTTAGAAAATTAAAAACCAGTAAAGAGAACTATTAGGTAAAACCAAGGGTCAAAGATTCTGGGGTTAAAAAAAATTTTCCTATAATAGTCATTTCTGAGATTACTGCAGTGGTGACTTGACAAAGATCCAAAATTGCCAGTGATATCTTGAATGATCTTTATGGAGTGTACATCCTGGATATGATGTAGAGTCTATTGTGACATATCAGTTCTACCTATGCCTGCTATTTCATACAAGGTTACAAAAAAAAATTGGCTAGAAATAGAGAACATCTCACTAAGACAGGAAGGGATGAAGATATATGCTCATATTATCTAAAATGTTTAAACTGAACTTGAGAGAGATGAGAGAAAAAATCCCCAAACTGGAGAAATTGGTTTTTATGAAGGACAGCAAAATTCTCATGAAAATTAAAAATTAAATGTGAGCATCCTTAGTCATAAATAAGAGAAAATATTTGAGTATTTGTAGAGTCTCGGGAGTTTATGGAAAAGCAGGCTTTTTTGGTAATAGATGTT